TAATACAGGAGTAAAGTTCCATTGAAAAGAGGGTGATTTTGAAAAAGCTTCCTTGAGTAGCTTTTTCTGCACTGCTCATCCTTTCTCCCCATTATGAACACATTCCAACCATCTAAATCATGCCAGGACACCTCATTTTTCCAACCCTAACCCTACCCTGGTGCACACCCCTAACCCTAATAGGGGGTGACAGTCCCATTGAAAAGAGGGCGATTTTGAAAAAGCCTTCCTTGAGTCCCTTTTTCTGCTCTGCTCATCCTTTCTGCCTATTCCGAACACATTCCAACCGTCAAAATCATGCCAGGGCACCTCGTTTTTCCAACCCTAACCCTACCCTGCTGCACACCCCTAACCCTAAAAGGGGGTGAAAGTTCCATTGAAAAGTGGGCAATTTTGAAAAAGCCTTCCTTGGGGACCTTTTTCTGCACAGCTCCTCATTTCCTCTCATATTTATTTGTGAGCTTTACTTGCAGCCTGAAGTGGAACAACCCAGGCACAGATTGTCCTCTGCCTTATAGCCGAAGTGGTCCTGCCGGATTTGTTGGACTACAACTCCCATCAGTCCCAGACAGCTTGGCCAATTATTGGGGATGAAGATGAGAGCTTTAATCCCACAACACCTTCAAGGGCATGGTTTTGCAATCTCCCTTTAAGAAAGCCAGAACAATACATGCTTTAGCAGTCTCCATTCAGAATATTTTCTGTGCTCAGGTATTTCCAGGAACCCAAATGAGAACTTGTGTCGAACTGAGCCTCTCTCTCCCCACACAGGCTGCAAAACCATCCACAGGACCAAGTGAGGTCTTTGAAAACGTTTTCCAGACTTGGGCAGGGAAGGTAAGACTCCCATGACTATTGCTTGCCACGGGTCTCTTAAAATGTTTGCAAGCAGCTCTCCCGTTTCGCCTTAGCCAGAGCAGATTTAAATACTGCCACATGCTGAGCACTAATGCTGGCGCTTTCCTGAGCATCTTCAAGGAAAGGGACCGTGTGTGGCGCTGTTGCCTGTGCTCACTGAAAGGGAAACGGTTGATATCAGAAAACGCCACAGCCAGGTCAGGCCACTGGTCTTTACCATGAACGTTCCTTTCCCAATGCATTGCCCTCCAATATCTTGGACTACAACTCCCATCCCCTCCAGCCGGCATCTTGGATGGGAATCATGCAAGCTGTCATCCACCATTCTGGAGTTTGGGGATCTCACAACAATCCCGGAAAGATCAGTGGCTCCGTTTGGCTGGATCTTCCAAGCAGCTTTGAAGATTTGCTCTGGACTGTTCCCCTGTGGATTTGGGGATCAACCCGTCGGCCCAGAAATCAGAACTGGGATGGGATGGTTTATCAGGCAAATCATGTGACTTCTCTTGTGTTCCGAAATATGTTTTAGGACCAGCAAATAGGCACCAAAGAGTTCAAGAGTTTTCTGGAAAAGAATATAATCTCTAGTGAGTATTCATGTCAGTTGCGTTGCCTGACTGGCTGTGTTCTGTGCAAGACGATTTTTCCATGGACTGGGGGTGGTGCTGGTGGTTTTGGGATGATTCAGGTTCATGACATTCATGGTGCACTTTATTTCTATTATTATTACATTGCAATATATAATGAAATCATTAGACAATTCCCCAAAATGCAGAATCTGGGGATCCCCCCCCCCCCTGCAGCCCAGCCCCGACCTGCTTCCCATTTCCCCCCCCCCCCCCTTTCCCCCCCCCCCCCGCCTTCTCTGTGCCACATGCCACCCGGCTCTGCTGCCATCGCCACCACCCTCCTCCTTTCAAGCCCAAGACCCAAAAAGCCAAAAGCTCTGAGACGTTTCTCTCATCCATTCACCTCTTCCTGCTTTTGTATAATTCCACTCCAGAACTAATGTCTTCCCAATCTGACAACTTTTTCTTTTTTCCCAGTGGGTATACCAAACAATGTTACCTTTTCCCTTGATGACTGCCAGAAAATCATCCAGCATTTCAGTGTATCCTTCAAAGGAGCTAGAAACTGCAGGCTAAATATTGAGGAGAAGGGAGTACATTTCAAGCTCCTAGTCCTCCGGAGTTTGGAAAAAGGATCTCCTGAAACACAAGACCCTACCCTTTTAGCAAAAGAGAATGCCCTGTAAGGCAAACGCCAACTGAAGCACGGGCCAGCAACTGGCAGCTGCGAGCCAAGGGCCATGTCCTCAATAATTGCCCGTCGATAATTGAGGCTGCTCAGCTGCTCTGCGAAAGGGGATTTTCGGCCCCTCTGCTCTGCAGGGAGCACAGGACCGGAGCAGCACCGTGCGCTGCAGAAGGGCACTTCAAGCAGAACCTCCGTTACCAGTACAGAGCACGCTGAGAGGCAAGAAAGCCACTCAGCCACTCCTTCCATCAGATAATGCTTCCACTGGAGCAGGGGACTGCGTGGCCCGGCTGGAGCGGGGCTTCCACCCCCAGTGCCAGATGGGTGCTCTGCTTGCTAGCCTGTCTCTCTCTCAGGAAAGGCTGGGGGGGGGGTACTCCTAGAAGGTTCTCCAAACACCCACACATCTGGTTTCCTGACTGGCCCTTGCGGGACTTGGCTGTGGGCCCAGCTAATTTAACGCAGGCTGCTTTGAGCTGCAGGGCCTGCAGCTGTATGTGAACAATCAGGCTGCCCTGTCCCAGGATGCAGGACTCTCCTGCAGTCTCCCCGCAGAAGCTCCCCAATACCCTGCCTGGAAGGGGTGGCACCCAGGTCCCTCCCCCGTTGGGAAGACACAGGGCAACGGCCTGAGGGGCTGCTCGGCTGGGCAGCTTCTCCTCCTCCTCTTCCTCCTCTGTGCTTCTTCCACCCTCCAGTTCCTCCACAACAATATTTTGCTTTTCCTGAGCTAGATAACAGGACACCGGAACCGGTCGGCTGAACCTAGAGGAGTTCTATCCATTTTGGGTCAGGTTTGTTGCCTGGAAGGTGAGTGCAGGATCAGAAATCGGTGGGGCAAGTGTCTGGGTTAGAAAGCACGCCCATGACCCCGGGACACCGCCTGGCCATAGCAGCCGCACCAAAATCCAGACCCAGTTGGGTTCGGCGGAAGAAGGTCCTGCTTTCTTGAGGGAGATCAGACCCCTCAGTGTTACGTTTGGCTACAGAATTTACTCTGCCTGCTAATTCAGTGCCTGGAGCAACCCGGCCACTCTGAGTTTTGGTCTGAATTTGAAAGGAAGTGGCCCCAGCGTGGGTTCAGCACCATGGATAGCTCCGGAGAAGTCCAGACTCCAGTCCAGAGGGCGCATAAACAAGAAAGCTGGATCAAGGCCAAAGGATCCTCCAGACCAGTACTCCTCACTCAGCAGCTGCCCACAGCATCCCTCAAGCGGGAAGGGGGCAAGAGCTCCTTCTGCCCAGCTCCTCGGCAACTGGCCTAATGCAGGCAGGCAGCACTTGGCCAGCAGGGCCGGTAGCCACGGATAGCTTCCTCCCCCGAGAATCTGTCCAGCCCCCTTTGGAAGCCATCCACTTATGGAATGCGCTCCCCAGAGAGGTCCGCCTGGCGCCGCCGTTATTTGTTTTTCGGCGCCAGGCCAAGACCTTTTTATTTAAATGTTATTTTAATTGTTAATTGTTGACTAGTTATTGGGTTTTTATATTGCACCAAGATGTCTCCAGTTTTTTTAATGTATTTGTATAGTTATTTATTTGTATTGGAAGCTGCCCCGAGGCTTTTGCGAATGGGGTGGCATATAAGTGTTCCAAACAAACAAACAAACAAACAAATAAATGGCCATCGCCACTTCCTGTGTTAGCAAGTCCCACGGATGCTGTACCTGAGGCTCCCAGCTCCATTTATTTACATATTCATTGAAATGGTCCTCCTTCAAGAACAACTCAACAGGTGAAAACACAGCAGGTTAAACTTCTCCACACTGGTCCCATAGAAATGGGGCCAGCCACAGATGATCAGTGCTGCTCCTTGGGGCTCCAGCCAGATGGGAAGGAAAAGGTTAAAGACACAAAGTTCATTCCTGTTTAGATAACTAGAAGCTGAGCAACTTCCAGCAGGACTAACCAGTAAGGATTTCTTTGTCTAAACACGCATGGGCTTGCACCCTTAATCATGATGCCAACTTTGTCATCTTTCATTTCGGGGGCAGATTTGAAGTAATTCGTATTAACACTAATATTTGTGCAAGAATGCACTAGCACAGATGCAAATGAGCACAAGGAAAGGGAGAGTCTGTTTTCCAAAAGGTCCAGTTCCATCTATGAGCAGAAAATAGGCTGGACAATCCCCAAAACACAGAGGGAAATGACTTCACAAAAAGCGTGCATTTTTAGTGCTAGTCTTTCTCTGGAGTGTGCGCCATGTTGGGGAAGGTTAGCATTTCTCATCCAAAAATGTTCTTCTTTCCTTTTTGATTCCACAGGATATATTTTTTAAGTTTGACCAGGATAAGTCTGGCACCATCGATGTGAAGGAATTGCATCAACTGCTAAAAAGTTCAGGTAAAAAGAAGAAGAAGTGGCAACAATGGAGCAGGTTAAGACTTCTTATTCTGGAATTGGAGTACAACCCCCACTGTCTCCAGCCAGCATAGCCAGTTGGTGAAGGCTATGCTGGCATTGAAAGAGATCCCAAATAACCCCATGCAATTTCTTTTAATAATAAGTTTTATTCAAAATAACCCTAAAACAAAGACAAACTAAAAACAACACCAATCATCAGAAACATCGGACCTGCTGGGTCAGCCCCTGCATTTTTTTTCCATTTGTGATAACTTAGAAACATATTTAAATCTGTACGAAGTCCCGTTTCTCTAGCCAATGATAAAAAGAGTCCCAAGTTTGATAGAAATCAGTATCTTCTTTCTCCTTCAATGACAAAGTCAATCTATCCATTTCTGCGCGGTCCAAGATCTTTTTTAGGCCCACCGCATGCAAGTCTATGCCAGCTTACACAGCCATAAGACTTCCCTCCCCCAGCATTTCCCAGCTACTGGGAACCGTAGGCTTACTTTGGTGTAGGAAGGCATTGAATTGCTACCAACGTCCAGGGCCTAAAATTACTAAGGAAAGTTCACAGAGGTTGCTGAGTGCGATTTCCAGGGGCCGGAAGGGGAAAGGTTCTGCAGTCAGCAGAGCTCCTTACTCTTTGCTGCCTCTTCCACAACTAGCTGAAGGGGAACGAATTCAGCAGACAAAAACGAGACCTACTTACACCGCGGGATTTATAGATTTCTGCAGAATCCAGATTTGCTTGACTCTGACACTGGACTTTTCCACTCTGCTTATTTGACTGTATTTGGTTTTATGCAGGGTTCCATTTAAATAAAGAGACAACAGATGCTCTCCTGCAAAGATACGGCAAGAAAATAGACTTCGCCAAACTTGTTTCCCTGCTGGTACACCTGGAAGGCATTTTCCGTAAGAGGCAACATTTAATTATCTTCATAATTGCTCCTTCTCAGTGCCCCCACCAACCCACACCCCTCTCAACAGACTGGCAGCCAAAACAGAACCCCTGAAGGACAAGAGGAACACCTCCAAGTGCTGGGGAAATCCCAAAGTTTGGAGAACGATTCCAGCCCACAAATAAATAAGGGTTCTTTTGGTGCCCTTTTCCCTGCACCCCCAAAAAATTGCCCTTGTGGACTAAGCAGATTCCCTGGACATGAGGAGCCATGGAAATACTAGGTGTCAATTGGAAAAGAAAAAAAAGAAAACCAAGCAGGGAGGAAAGAAGAGAGCTTAATTTCTTGAAATTGTTCCAGCTTAGACTGATTTGGAGTGGGCATGGTTAGCTGCATGGCGCCCCCAACCCTGTCGGGGGATGAGGGTATATCCCCATATGCAGGGCCCAGGTGTCCTTTCTCATACAAAGGTGGGTGGCGCCATTTTGATTTGGAATTAAGTGGACCAGCTTAACCTGGTGCCAAAAGGATGACGGACGACATGACATGAATGACAGTCACCCCTTCTGCTCGGAACAGGCCACTGCAAGGAGCTGGACGTGGACGACGATGGCAAGATCTACATGACAAAGGATAAGGTGAGGAAAGGGCACCTGCGCGGTGGGATGGCACGGCAAGCTCTGAATACAACGCTCGCACTCAAGGGTTGAGTGTGGGTTGAGTGTGGGTTGTCCCTGAACCATGGTTTGTTGTTGAAACATGTTGTCTGAAGCCAGCACCAGTAACTTATGGTTGGCTAACCACAAACAGTCCATGAGGAGAACCCATGGCTTGTTGATGGGTTATGAACTGTGGGTTGTTGACCATGGTTTGTTTTCTCACTGGGTTCCGAAAACATGATAACCCACATTTCAACGACATCTCACAGTCCAGTGACAACCCCTTGAGTGTGACTTATCATGTTGTCTGAACCCAATCAACTTCTTCAGCATCTTTCTTTTCTCCCCAACCTTCTCCCCCATCCATCCATCCCTAAAAAGTCTAGCTGACACCTCTCTGGGCCCTGCTAGATAGGGATGGTGGGGATTGTAGTCAAACGCATTTGAAAGGCACATAGGCTGGAACTCTTATGGTGGAGTGGACTCCAGCACTTTTTCTCTGCCTTCTCTCAAATGGGGGAAGGAGGAAAGGGTGAGTGGGGGAAATGTGATGTGTGATACCTATTTAATCCCAAGCCTGGCATGAAACTGTGGCCAGGTCAGGAACACCACTGGTCCCTTTTCCAGTGTTGCTTATTCACTGGCCAGAATTGGTCAGGAAGGTGTGGGGAAGCAAAGGGGTGCAGTCCTACTGCGATGCTTATTGGCATTCACTTCAGGTATTTAACTGAACTGTTTCTTGCTGTACCTACCATGCATCAAGAACTTTCAGTATAGATGGCAAACAGAGGGATACCACTCTGCCTCCATAGAACAGGTGGATAGCACCTGTTCTCTTCTGCCTGTGGGCGAGTCTGCTATTTTTCTATTTCTATGAAGAAAATGCCTCTATTTGAGTGTTTCTACAGCAGGCTGTTCATCTGCGCCTTCTGCTATCCATTTTAAATTGCGATCCTACAAACACAACACAAGGCACATTTATTTTCCCGCCTCTCTACTGTATAAGCTCTAGGGGGCACTGTGGTATAGCAGAATGGTGCAAGAGGAAATAATACTTTCTTTTGCTTTTCATGTAAATGGCAATTTTTGTGCTCCAGAACACTGCTGAAAGCACTGGCTAGACGAAGGAGTAAATCCGGAGGGTCACCACCTGTAAAGAGCCCTGAGTAGTAGAGACGGATGAGACTAAGATGAATGCCTCACAGGGACAAACCCAGCATCCCCAGTGGGGATTCGGTGAACCTCATTGATTGATTTATGATTGTGGGTGTCACCACCAGACCAAAACCGGCTTGCCTCCATCCCTAGCACACTCTTCTTTTTCACCGCTGCTCAACTCTGCATCTATGTTTTTTATTCCATTGTTCACTTGGAGGCACCATCTAAATGATGGATGCAGGTGGCGCAGTGGTTTAAACCGCTGTGCTGCTGGGCTGATGGATCGAAAGGTCGCCGGTTCGAATCTGCACAACGGGGTGAGCTCCCGTTGCTCCTTCCCAGCTCCTGCCAACCTTGCAGCTCGAAAGCCTGCAAATGCAGGTAGATGAAAAGGTGCCACTCCGGTGAGCAGGGAACAGCGTTCCGTGCACTTCGGTGTCTAGTCATGCCGGCCACACGAACATGGAGACCGTCTGCGGACAAACACTGGCTCCCTCGGCCAGGAAAGGGAGATGAGCACCGCCCCCTACAGTCAGGCATGACTGGACGTAACGTCAACGGGAAACTACCTTTACCTTTTACCTTTACCATCTAAATTAGAAATGAATGCAGACCTGTTGTAACTGCTCTTTTTCAGTGGATGCAGCATGTCAACTCTCTCATTCGGAAGATATGACCCAGTCATCCCACAAACAAGCAGCTATCAAAAGAGATTTATAATTCAGCCGAGAACTTTCCACATGAGTTAACCCTCCAAAATTCTGCAATCAGGAAATCTGAATTCTGCAACCTGAATGAAAGCTGATTCACAGACATAAAGCTGTATAAAAGTATAAAATAACACAGCACCTCATTAGCACACCATGCAAAGCATTTTAAGGATTCGGGAATTAAGAGAACAGTCATCAGGATTTATCACATTCATAGAATAGCAAAAAAAAAAAAAAATTTGTGATGGGAACATTTCCTGTAATCGATACATCGCAGAAGACTACATATTAAATATATTAAATTACTCACTTATGAAATATCTATATTATATTTAACTTGAAGTAATGTGTTGTAACATAATATTTGGAATTTTCTATAACGTAAGGCTGATTTAGCTACTTGCTTCCTGTATCTAATCGCCTTTTCTGATGTTAAAACTTAACTGCATAATAGAGCCATCCCTTTCCTGAGCAATGCAAACCGAATCAAGCTTTCTTGGACAGCTGCGCTTTAGGTTCTTCATGTTTCAGAAGAGCAGCTGCAAAATGGCAACTTTCCTTGTTAACAATGCACCAATTTCTGTGGATGCTTTTGCATGGATATTAGCAAGGTATAGCACAGTTTGGGTAGGATTCATTGTACACTGAAGGTGTCACAGAAGCTTTATGTGCACTTTACAAAGAGTGGGAAAGCTATTCTATGAGGAGAAAGAGCACAGTATGCCTGGAAGCTTTTAGACTTAAAATCACAGCACTTAGCTTTTATGAACAGAGCGCAAGAGAAAAATAAAGATTTATCAGGTTCTGAGCTTCCCACCAAAGATAACTGCATGTCCACTTCTCCATTTCCCACCTGGCCTTCCTGTAGTCTTGAGAAATAGTCTGGAGTTAAGGAGGAAGCGAGGCTGTTAGAACCATCTAAACTAACAAAGAAAGCACTTAAATCGTGGCACCACCTAAACCAATGGCCTCCGCTCTGACTGGCAGCAGCCTTGTGGGCTCTCAGCGTGCCTCCTGACCCCGCCAGTTCTTTTTCATGGGATTCCGTAAAGGACACGTTGGATGGGAATCACGTGCCCCACCTATCTTTGAGCTTCCTGCATCTGAGCCATGCATTAAAAGTCAGGCTGTTAATTGGATTAAAAGATGAGACAATTTGGCAGCCCCCCTCTTGCAGGCCACCTCCCACCCGCCTCTCCACTTGTGCTCCTGGGCGGACATTGCCACACATTCCGTGGGGCAAGCCCCTCCCTCAAAGGAATCCCTGTAAGATATGCAAGGTTCACCTTTAACACGCTGCAGCGGTCCAGTTTGGATTGGATTAGTCTGAAAATAGCTTGCCACTGCTGGGAAAGGAGCCTTTCTTTTTCAGCTGGGTTAGCAAAATCTGTGTTTTCGTGACTGCAGGTGAGCAGAGGCCCCTGCTATTGCAAGACACCAAATTAAAGCAGATGCTTTTTGAGTGTTTCTAGAGAGGAGAGCCCCCAGCTTTTCCAGGTAATAGGTTCCATTGTCATACTCTGACGCCTAGTCTAATTCTTCCTGGTGTCTAGTCTAAATCTGGTTTCTTTTAACCTGAGTCTGTTATTCCATGCCCTGCACTCTGGCGTGATCAAGAAGAGATCCTGCCCTTCCTCTTTGCGACAGCCTTTCAAGTTCTTGGAGACTGCTCTCATATCATCCCTCAGTTCTCTCTTCTTGAGACTGAACATGCCCCGTTCTTTCAGTCTCTGCTCACAGGGCTTTGCATCCAGTCCCAGAATCATCCTTGCTGCCCGGCACCTCTACGCTTTCCAGCTTCTCTGCATCCTTCTTAAACTGTGGTGCCCAGAACTGACTAGTGCTGAAGACAGGGGAGCCAGCACTTCACGTGTCTGGGAAGTGACACTTCTGTTAACGAACTTCCACATTTTGCCGTCTCCCCCACTGTGGTCTGGACCTTTTATCAGAACTATCTCTGGACAGCAAGACATTGCTGAGGCTGGAGGTCCAAAGGACTATTTATCCAAGGATCCAGAAGACAAGCAGACGGGCATTAGGCAGGGGTGGATAAGTGCGGTTTGCTCAGCCGTTGTGCAATGTTTGCTTCTGGTCATTCATCAACCTGAGAAAGCTTCAAAAACTTCTTGCAAGACTAGCAAAGGCTGACGGGATGCTGGGAAATGACACACATACTGCTAGGCTGCTGTAAGTGAACCTCACACTCACGGAAGCCTGAATCTTTCATCCGTGATTGCCATGATTCAGACCTAGTACACGAAGTAATCGGAAAAGCAAGAGTGCCTCTGAGCATATGCTGTGTTTTCTCAGTGGCTACTCTCTTCTGGGATTAGGGAGCTTTCTGCTCAGAGGAATAGTGGAAGCAATGACCTCTTTTATGAGAGATGTATGTTCTTCTTCAACGTATCTTGAAGAACACCGAGGAGTAAAATTAGCCAAACTAAGGTGCTGAATGTTTCTAGAGCACTGGGAAATTTTCTGGAAAATGTACCTGTTCTACTTTTCCTCCAAATAAAACCTCATACCACTGCCCAGTGGTTGCATGTTGGAACATATGAAAAGGCAGAGAAAGAAAAGCCCTGGGAAACCCGGTGTAAAGGAACCTCTCTCATTCCTGCAAAGCATCTGGGAGCAGAAGCCAGGGAATGCGGGAGGGGGTTGAAGCCCTCCTGGAGAAAAGCCCTCAGAAGAGTCAAAAAGGAAATACGGCAAGTCCAGTGGCAACTGGCAGCCCGGCCTCTGTGCTGCTGCTAAATCGCAGCCTCGCAATGTTTGCACCGGGCCATCTGTGAGCCTTTCGGCAGCTTCCACCCCTGCTGGGGAAGACTTTCGCAAGCAGAGACACTCAGCCTCAGGAAATGGGCAAGCAGGTTGGAATGACAGCCCCACGGGGACACTAGGAAAACTGACGAAAGAAGGGGCCAAGGGGCAGGAGGTGACTTTTAGCAGCACAGGGGCAGCAGCCCCCAGATCTGTTATCTGTTATGGGGCACCATTATAGTAGTAGCTGCTCCAGCAGGTGTGGGGAGAAAATGAGTGACTACAGAGAGTCAGGTAGCACTGCAAGGGGTCAGAGCGGCTTCTCCTGCTACTTCTGCTCTGATGAAATCGAGGGAAATTCTCTGGGTGCTACTGAGAAGCAGCGGCAGGACAACTTGGGTGCCTTTGTGGGAAGGAAGGTGTGAGAGAGGAGGGCCAACCAAACAGGCAGCCTGTGGGTCCCGTGATCTGGGACAGGGCGGCTGAACTATGCAGCGTCTAGTTTTCTGAATTAAAGGAGCTGGGCCAGCTGCAGCTCCGTCTGTCCTAGCATGCATGCGGTCATAGGGGTGCATGGGTTTGGTCTTTTTGCAAATTCATCATTGTTTGGCAAAGGGTCAGGTGTGGGGAGAAATGTCCAGCTGTACATACAGTTGCATGTTTCCAGTGGAGGTCCCTGAGATAAACAAGGGCAGAAGCTGCCACTGTGACAATGTGGATGCAGGTATGACAACAGTTTCGGCAAGAGGCAGGAGTCATTTGGGGGTGTTTGGATAACAGCTTGAAAACCTGGGAGGGGATTCATGAGCGAAGCTGGCTGGAGCCGGGGGTCAGACTAGATGGCCCGGGGGACCCCTTCTGACTCGCTCAGTTGCTATGTTTCTGTGGTTCCATGCAAACCTCAGTGCTGGGTGACAATGGCCAGGTTAGAAAACACCCGAAGAATAATCAGAGATTCCATTTCACCAGAGAAGCATTTTTCTGTTTATTTGTGGCAATTCCTTTTTGCAAACAAACGTAATAAAGAAGTAGAAAGGGAAGGGACTGCAGTGTAAGGCCTGTCCCTGGAGAACCAGGTATTATTTCACTGCTACCTGGGGGAATCACGAAAGAGCGCTTCTTCCAGTCAGAGGCACATCTAGGGAGCCGTGAATCTTTCCCACCACATGCCGCATGGCTTCAGTCAGACTCCTTGTTGGAAATGGTTGCGAATTTGTCCTTCAGTGTCTGAAGGTTCTCGGCAAACCAGCTCCTGTTAATGACAAGAGAACCGTGAGAAATCTCTGGCACCCTCAACTTCCCAATAAATATTACAATAACCAGTCTGGGGACAGGTCACCGGATGGGGTACCTGCTCTCCTGTATACCTGCCTGGACCCTAAAATCATCTCCAGCAGTCTTTCTGAGGGAGCCCCTGCCAAGAGAAGTCAGGTGAGTGGCTGCTAGGAAGAGGGTCTTTTCTGCTGTGGCCCCCGAGTCGGGAATGAACTTCCCAGAGAGACTCACCAGGCACCTACATTGTTCTCTTTCTGGTACCAGGTGAAGATCTTTTCTCAGGAATGTTAGCCTGCCTGTTTTAAACACTAAATAGTTTTTACTCCTGCTTTACCCCGCAGTTTCAACCCTTAACATTATATATATAGTATTTCATGCTTGTTTAATATGTTTTGATTGTGGAAATAGGTCGTGAGCTATAAAGTAAGTAGAAAGCCACCCTCTGAGAGTGTGCAAAAGGCTCTGGACCTTTGTGGGAATGTCGGAACGGTGACAGCAGGGCGAGGACTGAGTGAGGCTCCAAGCTGAGTGAGCTGGCAATTAATAGCCAGCCTTCTCCTCTTTGGGGTGGCCATGGAGTCCCTTCAATGCAAGCAGAGCTGATGAAGAGGGGCTCTCTTCAGCCTCCTCGCTCATCCCTGGGGTGGAGGCCTGAATGATCCCACAAGGAACTCTCACCCAGGATGCCCAAAGCTGCCATGCCTTCTCCTGTATCCCAGAATGCTTTTCTCTCCCTTTCGGTCTAAAGCACCACCTTCGACTGCGTGCAGAAATATCTGGCAGCATTTCCTCGAACACCATCTGGACTTGGCAAATGTGGCTTTGCTCTCGGCAGAGTAGCTGGCATGGTTATTGCTTTCCAGGCAGCCCCTTTCCCCATCCTCAGAGCAGGGACTGACCCTCTTGAAAGATCTAGCAAGCAGCGTCAAATGTGGGAGAACAGCCACCCCTTCGCAGCTCACACATCCTTCTTTGGGTGAATGAGAATCAGCTAAAAAGTCTAATTCTGGATCGCCCCCCAGACCCACACTTTTTAAAGCCAAATGTTAAAGCCGGGGCAGAAAGCCTCTTTTCAGCCGGAGAGCTGAGTTTACTTAGGAGATTCTTTTGGAGGCTGCCTTCCAGTGGCCCCAGAGAAAGGGGGCAGGACAATAAGAAAAGGATTGGGCCAAAAGGAAAAGGAATACAAAGATTTATTTTATTTATGTTTTGCATTTATATACCACCCCAATAGCCCAGAGGGCTATTTGGGTGGTTTACAGATGCCACCCTGTTTAGCTTCAAGCAGGACGTTCACCTGGTCTGGTTGCTGAATTTGCTGTGGTGGAGATCGTGGAAAGCTGCCTTGACCTTCTCTCCAACACGGTCGAAAAAACCCTGAACTTCTTGCTGGAATTTCTCAAACTTCTGGGACAAGGTGGGCTTCATCGTTGTCGGTTCATCAGAGGCTTGGAGAGAGAAAACACGGGCACAACGGTTGAGAAAGGAATCCCTTGGAAAGCAGGAAAACTCGTCTATCTGGGGGAAAGTGTTGTGTTTCTGTGTATGCACCCAGACCAGAGCTGGTGTATCCATGTTTGACTATGCAAATGAGGAATGTCTAGGCTCCTCCTACAAGTCTAGAGCCCCGCCCTCTGTCACTATTTCCATGCTGTGTCCAATGCCTTGCTTAAAAATCCAACCATCTTGCCAGGCATCTTTTCAAAGCTGGGACCCCAGCACGCAATTAAGGTCTGGGGAAGCGAGGCCGTGCTTGGGAACGGGCATGGGCACCTGGAGAGTTTGGAGGACCAGATTCTGACCCAGGCGGGCTGCCTCACCACCCTGGGCCTGAGGTTTCCCATCACCAGTGCAATATGTTCAGGGGCAGCCGTGGGAAGAAGCCGGTGGGGCAGCCCCCCGCTGCCCATGGAGTTGATCCAGGCTCGGACTGGCACCAGCGCGGGCCCTGCCTCCTACCTGCCACAACGGATAGGGCTACGAGGACCACGGCAATGGACACGACGGCCTGCATGATCCCGGAAGGGTCTCGGTGCTCCTGGAGGAGAAAGTGAAGTCCAGGGCTGAAAACTGTGGAGATGCAAATCAATCACTCTGGCTTTGCTTTTGCGCTGGAGCTGCCTTCCCCAGTGAGGTGCCCTCTGGATGTTTTAGGCTACAGCTCCCATCAGCCCCAGCCAACCACACCGAAGGGTGAGGAGAATGGGAGGTACCATCCAAAACATCTGGGCAGCAGAAAGTTGCCTTAAAGCGAGGCCTGCTTACGGCCTGGAGCGGCAACCCCATATCTGTCCTCGCCTGGGATAAGCCCAGTTAAACTCATCATGGGATTTACTTCTGTATGCTCAGGGCCAGGACTCATTGCCAGGGTGGCTGAAATCAGGCCTCCAGCAGGACAGGGCGTTCCTGACCGAGTGAGTCATCACCAGAGCATGGAACAGACAGAAAGGATGGTTCTGCCCTCGCCGTTTGGGTTGGGCTGAGAGTGGGGCAAGAAATGCCACGAAAGCGCGATTGCTGTGAGGGCTTCTTCAATGCTGAGGATTTCTCTAGCACCTTTAAGCCTCCCAAGATCATGCAATATCTCCCTGGGATAGACTGATGACAACCCTGTAAGGTAGGTTGGCATTATTTTTTCCATGCAGTGAACAACAGGTTAAGGAAGAGAGAGGCTTGCTTCAGGCTGCCTGGAACTGGCCAGCTTGCAAGATTCAAAACGGTTCGGTCTTGCTGAACCGGTCTTGTGGAGCAGGCAAGCATCTGGGAGCTTGTCCTGACAGCTTGCCCCTGAAGAGGGCAACATTGCCACAACTGGGTGTGAAGAAAGTTGCCCCCTGATCAGGAGTCTGCTGTGCTCTTCTGCCTTCTGTAACCACTTGATGCAAAGAAATCAGCAATGGATGCTTATTTAAAATACTTCTTGGCTGCCTTCAAGGCAGAAGCTGTTGCAACACAGAGACAGACCTTATCTGGTAATGGCTGCACATCGTGCCGCTGCAAAGACTAGCTTTTTTAGAAAGCTGACAACCCTGGCTGTGGATGGAAGTCTTCCTGAGGTTCAGTATATACCCTGCCCTGCCACTGGCTTCTTTTTCTGCCTTCTCTTGCTGATACTCCCACATTAATCTCCTTCCATTGCAGCCTCAAGTTGTCCTCCCTCCCTGACTCAGAATTATGTTCTCCCCCACTTGCACCTGTTCGACCTGTTTGGAAGGATCGTGGGGTACACCTCTTCTTGAATCACCTCTTCTTTTCACGCAGAAACATCCTTTTTAGCCTGGAGATCTCAGCGGCCCAAAAACCGCAGACGAAGAAGGGGAAAATTGCCCCAGGAAATGGTTATATCAGCCGCAATGTGGCAAATTTGAAGCAGGGGTCTTGGCCTGATCCTGCTCATCTTTTGAGCTGCGAATGTGCTCTGCCCCTTTAGCAGTCATCTGGGGCAGGGAGAGATCTCCAACTGAAAGTATTATCCAGCAATTAAAGGCACAAGAGCCCTGCTAGGAAAGATAAGCTGGCAACCTACAGCTCAGGCAAAAGAACAAACGGTATGCTGTAAAAACACTTTTACACTAATTCTTCGTTACCACTTTGCTCTTCCCTTCTGCCCTTACTCTCTCTTACAAGTCCCACTGCCCACCCAACTTTCTTCATGCTGCCGCCTCCTCCTTTTCTTTTAAACAAGCTCTGCTCCTGTGCCTTAAACAGCAGCACAAAAGATCTTTTTGGCAACCGGGGAAAACTGCCCGTTCCAAATTCCCAGGTTACAATTTGCAACTTGTGAAAGTGGTAGGAGCACAGCCAGTGAAAGAAAAGGCTGGCCCTTCCACAGATCAGTCTTTCTTTCCTGTGCATTCACCGGTCCTGCTGAAATGTTGTTGTTTATCTTCAATCAATCCATCAAAAATGAGCAAAAGGAATCATTTCGGCGGAACCCCCTTTGCCTGCATACTAAGCTAAGAATGCCTTCCCCCCAAGCTGCATCCTTCACTTACTTGTTTCTGGAAATGGAAGCAATGTTCAAGCTGCGATCCGACTTCCCAGCCAGCTGCAGCTCTCTATAAACCTGCCACCCTGCCTCCGTCATCCGCCCCCTTCACCCTGCAAGGGGTGCAACCCGACCCTCCTCCTCCTCCTCCTCCTCCTCCTCCCCGCTGTAATTAGTTTGCTCCAACCCCTCCAGAAAATTAAACCACGGCCAAGGATGCTGTGAAAAAAGAAGAGAAGACTTTGTGTGTGTGTGTGTGTGCAGTCCAGTTTCCTCACACTTCAAGCCAGATCACCGCACTAGGCTAAAAAGAAAAACAATCACAAATGCGTTGTTCGTCCCCCCCCCACCCCCCCGCCCCGTTTCTTCACCCTTAAAACAAGTTTGAAAGAAGAACACAGAATCTCCCAGGGCCATCTGGAGAGGTTCAATTCTCTTCAAAGATACTTAGGGATGTGAAAGGGCAATTAGACCTGGAACATTTTGACTGGAGAGATGAATTGCCATATATTTACCAGCTTTCACTTTGCCTGTGGACGCATCGCATCCGCTCGTGTCTCTTGCAAAATGTTGAGTAGGCAGGTGGGTGTCTTCCTGAAGATTTCGGAGTTTATATTCTGGGTAGTATTTCAAACAGCCTAATCTGTATTTCAGACAGATTCCAGCTTTGGGCAAGATGGCCCCATCAGTGTGTTGATACGAGTGTTGCAAACTGGCCCCCTAAACAGAGGCACCCAGAAACTGATGTGCCCTGGTATACCCTGCAGATATCCCATTATCCCCAGCCTGCATGGGAATTGCAGGCCAGCACATCTGGAGGGTCCCAGGTAGGAGAAGCTGAAGATACTCTGATAGGGTCCAAGATCAAACGCAGCCAGAACTTTCCTTGGAAGCAAACATGACGGACGCAGCTGAAGCTGTTGCATTTTGGGCCAGTCATGAGAAGCCAAGACTCCCTGGAGAAGACAGTCATGCACGGGGAACTTAAAGGCAGGAGAAGAGGAAGACCAGCTCCATCAAGAAAGCCACCGCCTTGAGTTCTCCAGAAGGCAAAACATTCTGGAGGGCCTTCGTTCTTGGACAGCCATAAAGGAGAGATGACTTCGCATGCAACAAGCATCTTAAGGTGGTTTCCGGTCTTTCAGGATGAATTATGGAATCTCAGTACAAACGCTGTTGGCACTGATACCAAATATTTCCTCACCAGAATGATATTTTTATATGTTTAGGAGAGGAGACCAAATACAGCTGCCTCCCCTAGTCTAACACCTCCGGATGTGTTAATCCTGGCTGGAGAATGATGGAGGCTGAGTTTAGCAACTTCGGGGCAGACTGAAAGAGAAGAATAATTTCCACTGTCTCCTTCAAGGCTCTTGAGACATCTTGCATTACAGCTTCTACCAACTTCAACCTCAAGAGTTGCAGTTCAAAACTTCTGGAGGTTCCCAGATCCAGGCGGGCTGGCTGGACTGACGTGGCAAGAGCAGGACAGGATGGAAAATCAGCACGTACGTTCTCCGAGCTGGTCCTCACTTTGCTTTCCTTTTCTTGCCATAACATATTTATTCTGCGGGCACTGGTGAATAATATGGGAAAGACAGCAACTGCCAAGAGTTCACTTGAGCCATGGCTTATGATGGCTTAGCCCCAGAACCTGTTCTCGGTGCCAGTGACTGAGCCCTGCAATTCGAGAAGCAAACGCAGAGCAGGATGTTCCACAGCCCATGCCTTTCACCATCCAGTCGTCCCAGCTGGTCCTCCCTGTTCAGCAACTGCAAGGGAAGGGCCATCGGATCGCTTCCACACTGATGCTCAGATGCAGAAGGTCCAAGGTTTAAGGCGAACACCTCCAGTTTCTCTTAAAGGGGGATCAGGCACCAGAAAAGGCGCCTGTTTAAGACCTTGCTGGGCCAGCTGGGTGAATAGGCTGAGCCCTCTGGATCCCAAACCCAACAGCTCCCTGAAGCCTAGTTTAGGGGCGATGCAGAAAAGCACAATGTTAAAGAGAGAGTTCTGCATAAGCGCTCGTGGGCAGGTGTCATGTCGAAAATGCGCTTGCTGATCCCTGCACATGTGCTCTGGCCCAAGGTCAGAGAGGTTCCAGGTGTGCAAAAGCTGCGTGTGTACAGACTCGCAGCCTGGTTTCGCCGTGGCGTTTAGAGCCCTGCGTGAGTTCAAGTCCTCTCTTGCACACGTGCAAGTTCTGACTCAGGCTTCCATGCAGGGGGAGAATTTTATGGCACGGAGCGTGTGCTGCTTGGCGATAAAGCAGTGGGTCCGGCATCTCTGGGTCAGGCTAGGAAGGGATCCTGCCTTGAACCCGGCGGAGAGGGTGCTTTGCTGCAATTTCCACTGCATGGAGGATGCGATCTTGTGCCCCGCACACATGCGCTTGCAGGGAAAACTGGGAGGAGCGGGAAAGGGTGTGTATGCGGGGAAGGCGCCCCGTAGCATGCACTTGCTTTTGGGTTTGTTTTGTAGCCCAGCTATGCAAGTGTTCGTGGAGAGTTTTAGGAAAGGTGAAACAGTGGATGGTTCCACGTGGAGCCACCGGAGACCACGCCATCCAGCTGCTTCAGTGCATGGGCCAGTTAGTAAGGGAGAAGCCCCCCTTTGGGTGCTCTGATCCCAAGGAACCTTGCGTGTGCTTTCTGGGCACCTCCCGTGTGAGGGAAGCACAAGAACCTGAACCCAGATCCATGAGGATTTCTCCAAATTTTCCTTCACCATTTAATTTCTTTTTTTTTAAAGCGATTTCTTCTCTATCAAGGCAAATGTGGCATGTCAGGGGGGAATGCGGGGCAAATTTGCAGTGCTTGGGGCAGATGGGCTGCATTTAGAAGCAAGGCAAGTCCTACAAGTGTTGGGAAAGTGGGAAGGGAAACCATTCCTGCAGTGCCTGGGCACTTGTCTTTACATGTTTTGGTTCCTGGGGTTGTAGAAGGCTGGAAATCTTCTCGAAGTAGCTGTGGCATTTGGGGCTTCTTTACAAGAAGGCTCATCACCTCGTGCTCTCCCAAGACAGTGTTTTCATTGTCTTTTCACGAGGATGGAGCACCGGCGTGAGTCCCCACACCAGACTTTCCTTTCTGACTTTCTATAGGTCCTTATACATTCCCTTACACAACACAAGGTGGTGCTGCAGTACAGAACGGAGCCATGAAAATCCAACAGATCATCTCCGCATCAGGATTTATAGTTAATTTCCCCCTCACTAAGAAAAAGCTCAAAAATGCCTGGGAAACTCAAGAGAGAGGATATCGCAAAAGGTCCCACAAGCACCAGTGTGCAAGGGATTGTGAACTCACGATAATTGCAGAGAACCTCTCTTTCTTTCTTTCTTTCTTTCTTTCTTTCTTTCTTTCTTTCTTTCTTACAGCCCTTCCCCTTTGATTTGCCCTTTGTCCTTTCTCTCGCATTCCTGCTCGGGCAGCATTATTCCTGATGAATCACGGGATTCTCTCCCACGAAGCAAAAGCACAACTTCTGTGTCTTCCTTGTGGAGCTCATGCATTGGGCCTTGGCCCTAAATACTCTGGGACCAGGAGATCTTATGGCCAAAATCAAACTCTTGCCTGAGTGACCCTAAAGAACTGGAGCTGACCCCAAGCCTTCCGATTGCGAAGGCAGCGCTGCATCTCTATAGAGACCTTCGTTTTAAGGACTCCGTCTGTGATGTTCACCACGGAAGCCCTTTTGTTTCGACCCACACAGCTCTGCGGAACAAACAGTCCGTTTCCACAATACTCCTTTTCTTCCCATATTTCGACTTGGCAACCCCAGTCATCCAGCCCTGATGGGAAAGGAGGAGCCCGAGGGTTACTTGCGTTCACTGGAGGATATTTGCTAGAACATCTGAGCTCCCTTCATTTCCCCTTTTCAAGCAAGAGTGCTGAACTACAGTAACCTCTTCCTGGAATATTTTAGGGTTTATTCTATCTCTAGATAAAGAGCCTGGAGTTAAGACATCCATTGTTTTCAGTAAGGCATTCAACGCTTCCTCCACCCCATCCCTTTTCATCATGGAAGTTCTCTCTTTCCCCTTTTTCTGAGACAGCGGTGCTACATGCATTAACCTGGGAATAAGGGCCCATCCTGAAATTATATCACAAGAAAGTTTGCATTTGGTGTGGATCTCGCTTTTGACACTGGGGGCCGGGGGGGGGGGGGCTGATTCCCTGGGACCTCCAGGCAAGGATTTTATTGCAAGATTGTCCTGCCTCAATCACGGAATTTCACAGATGTCTTCCATCTGTAATCTTCCTTGCTCTTCCTTTTTATTAAACCAGAAAAAACACAGAAAAGTAGTGCCAGCCCTTTGGATCGGCAGTGCTGGGGCCCTCTGCCTGGAAGCTGTACAAGCCTTTCCCAACTCCTGTTTGACTCATTCACACAATCCATTCTTCGAGGTACACTTTAAAAAATAGGCACATCTAGAAAAATATGGGGCTACTTTGAACATTGCCTCATAAGCCCGAGTCAAGATTCAGCTTTCGGCGTGAGTCTTAGCAAAACCTCAAGCTCCCATTCCTGCTTCTCCTCTTGCAAGGCTGGGAAGATGCCTCTCGCTCAGCTGAGCTTTGCTTTCATGATAAACAAACCAGCAATCCCAGTTTAAAACAAACTCTAGTCAATTGCTAACCCAAACAAACAGAAATGCACGATTCAGCTAGAGGTCCTAGTACAGATGCACTGAATATTTTTATAGCGTATTATATATTTTATATAAAAAATACTGATAATTCAGTTTTGCTTCTTTCTCTTCCTGTCCTTCTCTCTCTCTCTTTGTGTTTTGTATCATCCCCATCATAATTATCTTTAAACATGCCATGTCTTTCCCTGTCTCCTTTTATGTTGCTGTTTGTTCTTGTTTCACTCCTAGCTCATGTTTTTATTTGTGTTGTAAAAGCATCTCTCTCACACACACACACTCCTGCCAACCTTGCAGTACCACTCCAAAAACACCAGCAGAATCACTAATCAACAAACCCACGAAAACAAACCCTTTGCCCGGAAAATGCCACATCATCACTTTCCAGAAGACGGCAGCTTGGAGAGAGCGTGCCCGAGAAGTTGACTCATCTCCCGGGGTCTGGCTTGACTTAGGGAGCGAAGTTCCAGGGGCTTAGCAGGTGCTCGCAATATCCGCCGCAGGAGAGCAGCGGAGCGAGGCTGCTCTGCCCGGTGGCCACGTGTGTGGCAAGATGTCCACGTTCACAGTCCACTGCCTTTCCTTCAACAGGATTCACTGAGCTGAGGCGGCTGCTGGTTGTGTGTGTTTCCCATTTTCAGGCCAGAAATAGCTGAACCTGCAAAATAACTGCAAGGCTGCTCACGGTGTTGGAAGGAGGCCAGTAAAAACAAGGCCCAAAGCTGGGCGTGTGCTGATGAATCCAGGGAGACCTGGGCAAAGGACACGTGCCTCCTTTTCTTGACTCGCCCCGAAGCGTGAATCGAGACACCAATCGTGAGTCGCTAAGCCGGGGCTCCGAAGCCTCTTTCAAGGGCTGCGTTCGATTATGGTGGAGCTCAGGGCTGGGCTGGGGGGCAGCGTTTGAGTGGGGAACCGAGGCAAGGGCAAAATGTTGCAGGGCCAATGTACCAAAATACCAGAAGCGTTTTAGCCTTAACATCTCACTGCCAGTAATCAAACTTTAACAGGGGCCTGAAGGTGGTGTTTTACCCCCCAAACGATTCACATTTTAAATCTCTCTGTGTGCATATGTACACACACCCTTAAATCTATATTCTTTAATGCTTTTAAAAATTAAATCCATACAATGGATTGAGGTCAGACTAGTTGGCCCGGGAGACCCCTTCTGACTCGCTCTGTTTCTATGTTACTACTGGTGGTTAGTTGTGTTGTGTTGTTTCAGCAGAGGAATTGCAAACTTCTGGAACAGAGCTGGTGCATGCCAGGGGAGGGCTGCACACAGACCCTGAGAACTCCCAAGTGATCTGCAGACAGGGAAAAGGGGACGTGCCCATCTGAGGGGGCTGCGTTGGGGCTGCGCTGGGGCTGGAAAGTGACCCTTGGAGGGCTGCAACAGAGCTGCATCTCTACACTAAGCTGTGCCTGCAATGGGAGCCCGTATTTCTTCATTTTCACTGCCTTCCTGGGCAGCCAACTCTGAGCTCTGTGTGGCCAGACAGAATCACACCACGCAGGCCAAGGAGAACCAGAAGAAGGCTCCTCCATCGCCTTTATTGCACAAACGGTGCACACCATCTGGTTTGAAAGACTTCTCTGTTTCTTGTTCGAGCTTGTTCCCCTCCTTTGGGCCAAGCGGCCTGGGCGGATTCCCCATCAAGGACTTGTTTTTCAGCCTTGTCCACAAAGCAGTAATGTGCAATTTTTTAAAACACACACACACAACAGAGGCGCTTTCTAAACATGCTGGATATCGGCCCAGCTGTTGCTTTGGGACTTCCCAGAGAACAGTTCTCTCTGAAAGGATGCAGCTCTCCCGGACTCTGAAAGTTGTTCTTCCACATCCTCCAAGTCACAGGATCTCAGGTTTTGAATCAAAAACTTCTCTGAAATACAGAAGGGTACCTCTCTCTCTCTCTCTCTCTCTCTCTCTCTCTCTCTCTCTCTCTCTCTCTCTCTCTCTCTCTCTCTCTCTCTCTCCACATCTTCATCATGTAGATGTAACCTTGCCACCCTCTGGAGTTTATGGCTTTGTTTTTAAAACACATAACGGCGCATTTTGTCTGTCTAAATGTTTTCCCCCTCCGTGAGAGGAGGAGAGGCTGAGGCAGAAGATGGGTGTGACGGATGAAAGCTGTGCCGCTTCTCAGAATCTCCACCACCACCCCACATCTGCCCCAAAGATACTCTTCCACGTTTGGGGCTTTGGCAGAAAAATCCACAAGAAATGATGAGCCCCTCTGACTGATCAGCAGCTGACATAATTCTCCTTCTCCTGCTTGCCTTCTTATCCCAACAGCAACCCTGTGAGGTAGGCTGGGCTGACAGGCTGTAACTGGCCCAAAGTCACCCGGTTGGCTCCATGGCTGAGACGGGACTGGAACCCGGATCGCCTGGGTCCCCGTCCCGCACTCTAAACCACTGCACCACGCTGGCTCTCACGAGCTCACTGCTGCTGAGGGAGTGAACACAGCCGAGAAAGCAAAGCGACCAGCGACTGCAAGTCATAAACAGAACACTAAAAGGAGGTGCAGCTTGTCCTGATCCAGCGGGGCTTTTTATTTATTTGTATTTTTTATTTATTTTTGGATTTATATCCTGCTTTTTCCTACAAAGGGCTCAAGGCAGCTTACATCTCCTCCTCCATCTTATCCCCACAACAACAACCCTGTGAGGTGGGTTGGGCTGAGAGTCTGTGACTGGCCCACAGTCCCCCAGTGGGCACCATGGGCGAGTGGGGACTCAAACCCAGATCGCCTGAGTCCCAGTCCCATGCTCTTAACCACTATGCCACACTGCCTCTCTCTGGCTTTTTTTGGCCGCACTGGCTTTTTTTACGTTCTTAATGATTAGCTCTTTGCCAGTGCTTCTCGGTTCATGAGACAGAGGGCTTCTCAAGGGCCAGCCTGCAAAACTGTGGCGATCGGGCACCAGACTTCCTCCGCGTTCCCTGGGAGGGTCTCAGGTGTGGTGGAAGCGGGCCTGCTGCAACTTTGCCACGGAAATGACAAGATAATCATTAGCTGTGAGTCAGGCAGAGGGCAAACGACAAGGAGCGGGCGATGATGAAGGCCCTGTGTCAGCATGGGCAGGGAGAGCAGGACTACACCCTCCCCGTGGGGTGCGGCGGAAAAACCATGACCCAGAAAGGTCGCTCGTTAAGGGCAGGAGTGGCCCTGAAGGTCGTCCGGGGGATCCCACCGAGGCTTGGCAGCTTCCCCCCACCCCAAGGCCCCCCCAAGGCCCCCCACCCTTCTTGCCGAGAAATGCTTCGCCTGCTGGATTCAAGCTGTCCTGGCACCTATTTCAGTAAATGTGGACATTAAATGGCATTGCCTGGGATATCCAGACCGGAACGTGGGTTGGTCACCGCGTGGACAGGACGCCCGATTAGATGGATTCTCAGCCTGGTGCGCCCTTAGCCTCTTCGACACGCAGCCACAGCTGGGCTCGCGGGGGGCTGCCCCATCCCTCTCAGCCTCCCGGAAGCGTGTCACTTCCACGGGAGGGCCAGGAAGCTCCGCTGTAGCCCCACGCCCAGGCCCAGGCCCTCCATCTTGGCAGGTTCCTTTGATAAACCTAGAGCGATGTTTGCCCAACACAACCGATGGCTTTGGCTTTTCACCCGAACTCTCTCCAAGTCCAACCTGCCTGCCGCCCCCGGCTCAACTTTTATGTATATTTTTGAACTGTGGCACAATTTCCGGACTGGAAGCTAGAAAGGAAAGGAAGACCTTCGTATCCAAAGTATACTTTATTGTTACAGATCAAAATGGAAAACTCCAGTACAGCCGAGGCATCGCGGCAAAGGGAAGGGGCCGAGAGTCTCAGGCGTAAAGTGTTAGTGCGGCGTGTTGAAGGTGGCGTGGAGGGAAGCGGGACAAGGCCTCGCTTGTCGGTGGTTCAGAGGTGCACGTGGGATTAATGCAGGACCGAGGAAGGAGAGGCCAGCTGCAGGGGTGCAGCGTGTTAATGTGCCCAGGAGGCCGCAGGAGGTGCTGGGAGAGAAGTGCAGCGTGAGCAATTAGTATTTGGTGGCTACCCTTGCGGCCCGTGCAACCAAAAAGCTGCAGCCCTGGAGGCCATCTGGGTTTCCCAGAAAACCCTGGGCTGCCATCCTATTCTCTCTGGGTTCCCAGGCTGGCCCTTAGGACTCCGGACTCTGGGCCGCCTCCACCTTATCCAGCATGTCCCGGACCTGTCTGGTGAGATTCTGCAGCATCGGGCTCAGCCACTGGCGCGTGCTTTCGGCAACCTGGCTGAGAGAGCTCTGCACCTCCTCGGCTTTCTCGCGAAACTGGCCGTGGAGCTCCCGAACCTGTCCACTGAGCTGCTCGTGCAGGTGTTTTCCCCGCTCTTCCACCACCTCCCGCAGGGCCTGGTAGTGCTGTTGCCTCTTGTTCTGGAAGCTGGAGAGGTAAGGCTCCAAGCTCTGGCGCACGGCCTCGACCCTCTCGTCCATGCGGGCTCGCACCTCGCTGGCGTACTCGGCCATCTTGTTCTGCAGCTCCGTGACGTCCTTGCTGATGCGCTTCTTCATCTTGCGGCACAGCAGGTTCATCTGGGACTGGACTGTGTCCACGTTATGGTTGATCATCACCCCGGCCTCATTTTTGTACTGGACGTACTTGTCCTTGATCATTTTCAAGTCAGCCTGCAACTTATCCAGTATGGACCTCAATTCCACTTTCATGTTGTCCTGCAGTTCCTGGATGTGAGGCCCTATGTTGGAGCGGAAATTCTCGGTGTAGCGATCCAAGTCGGCCATGGTGTCTGTGATCAGGCCGCTGTGGGAGAGAAGAGGCAGGAGGTGGAAGTCAGAACGGTCTCATCTCAGTTGTGGTCTAGTACAGGACGAGCTGACATTTTGCACAATTTATTTATAGAAGTAAATAAATGAATAAAATATACGACTCTTTTGAGATCGAGCCCTCCGAGATAGCCAGAGAGCCGCCAAGCAAGCGGGCTCAGCCTGGAGGGGTGTTCTGCTGGTCATCTCTTCCTGCCCAGGAATAAGGAGAGTTTTGCCACACTTAAAGTCAGGAGTGTGATAAAGGTAGCCTGCAACCAGCCAGAGTATGAGACACGAATGTGGAGTTGTCAACCCCAGGTTTGGGGACAATGGGGCTGCCATTGTCTTGAGACGCTGACCCTAACACCAAACTGGTATAAGGTAAAGCTCCTTTGTTCCAGATCAGGGATGCGAAAGCTACATCAAGGTTTAACTCAAACTCTAGCAAGTGTGAACAGTTTAGGACTCAGTGGGAAAATATACAGCAGCATCTAAAATCAAATAACAACATTGCAACATTTCTGACTTGAGATTTCTCTGACCTAAAATGTCTTTCATTTCTAATAACGCAGCTATCACTTGGTCTGCAAACTGAGGAGAGCTAAAGGCAAAGGGAGCCTAAGCTGAGGTCCGTGGGTCAGCCTTGCAGGGTGCCGTGAAGGTGAAATGGAAAGAGGAGAATCTCATAAGCCAGTTTGGGTTCCTTGCAGAAAAAGGGTGCAGGATACAAACTCAGTGAGAAAGCAAAAAGTGAAAAGTGAACCAGCAACCTTGGACCATGCCGTGTTGTGCTGCAGGACATAAATATCTGGGACAGAAGCAGCCTCCTGGCCCACTCCTAGCCCCCACACCCACCTCCGTGGAAAACAGAAGGGGACTCACTCAAGTTCCTTGCTGATCTGAGAACTCTTGATCTGAGTTGCGATGCCTTCTGCCGTGTTCTCGATGTTGGCCAGATAGCTCCAAAGAGCATTTAGGCTCTCCTCCCATTGGGGCTTTGGCTTGTCCTGGTAGAAAATATTACCCCAGGAACCTGCGTGGATAAGGGAAAGGGGGAAACATTCAAGCACCTAGAATAGGCTTTTGGAATCCACGGTCGAGAATCCTGGTGCCCTACCAGGCCACAAGTCCCTTGCAAAGGAAAGTCTTCAAAGGTGCAAGGACATTCCAGGAGTGGTGGGAAGCTTCTGATTAAAGATGCACATTTTCTTCCAGGGGATTAATGTCATCATTGCCCCCCCCCCTCCAAACAGGGGTAGTTCTATCTCCAACCTTCTATCGCAGGGTGTTGAGTCTCTTTTAGCCAGAGAACAGAATTCCCTTTCAAGAAAGCTCTTCAGGGAAGGGGGGCATTCCTGCCGCAGGTGGAGCTGAAGGGAAAATTCACTGTCTAAAGAAAGCCCAAGGCCAGAGTGGAGCTCCAGGCAGGCTGGATACAACCTCCGGGTCAGAGGTTCTGCAGCCTGATCTAGCCCATGTTCCTGGAATAGAAATCGTTCTTTGAACGTTGGTATGAAGAGCCAGGCATTCTCAAATTCAAATGCCTATTCTGGCTAGGAGTGATAGGAATCGCAGTCCAACACCTCTGGTGCACTCCAGCTTAGAAAGGTTTCTGCAGTCCCTAGGAACCCCTGCCACCCCTAGGGACTGATACTATTTTCATAAATCAACGCACCTAGATGCTGTGTTCTATCTATGGGGCCCAGCTTGCGATTGGTTTTCCCAACTCTTTGACAAACCCTCCTGCTAGGAATAGGCTAGAGGGAAACCAGTTCAGTCTGGGAGTCTAAGGTAGCCCCTTTCCAGAACCTTCCCATATGGCCCAAACACATCCCCCCACCCATCTCATCCCAGTCTTGCCCTTTACTGTGCCGGACAAATTTTCCCCTCCCATTTATTTGACCCTTTCTTCCTCCACGGAGCATCCCCTGCCCCTTTTATTCTCATGGCCAGGTAGGTTGGGCGAAGATGGAGCGAACTGGCTCAGCGGTTCCCACTCTGAGCAAAGATTTGAACCTAAATTTCCTCTAGGCCATTCGAGCAGGCAAAAGAGTCTTTACTTTCCCCAGTCTTCCCTTATTACACAACACAGGGATTTATAAGGGGAACTTTCTCTTTCTTTTGCTCTCCAGTCAGGAGAAAATTAAAAACCCCAAAGGGCTGGCAGTTGCTACAAACATCAAATTAGAACAGACACTATTTTGGTCCAACCCAGCAAGACAATTTGGATGCTTTAAGCTCTCTCCAACTCTCCTGTTTCCAATTCCATCCATGCACTTCATGCTTTGATGAAGTTCTTCTTTCTTACTAACTTTCGCACCATAAGATGCCAATACAGCCCACGGGATAAGACCAAAAGTTCATCTGCCCCAGTTTTCTGTTTTCCTTGGAGTGCAGCCAGATGCTGCTGAGAAACTCAGAAATGGAACATAAAGGACAAAAGAATTCTCCCCTGATATTTTGCCACCTACACACACACAGCATTTGCCATCCGAGGTAGAGTGCAACTTTCTATGGGAGCTCCACTTCCAGGACAAAGCAGGACAAATATTAATGCCACATTTAAACACGTCTTTGCAGCACAGAAAAGGTAAAGGGTGGGTACTATTTATGCCCTTTTTAGCTCTTTCTGACTAAGCATGTCTTCCAGTTGACTTACTCACCTCCCAAGAGGGTTGCTACGAAAAGCAGGGCGAAGGACTTCATGGTTACCAGTCAGTCTCCTTGGGGGAAAAGAGGGCAACCAATTAGCTAAGGGATGGGGAGGGGGATATGTTCTCCACCCCCACAAGGCGCATGTAGCTTCAAGCATAGCCCACCCCCTCTCCCAGTGCCCAAGAAACCCCATCCCACTGCAGAAGCCCCTTGCACCCTAACCGTCTCCATCCAAAATAACTATTGCCCCTTGGTTTCATAATCGGGGGAGTTGAACACCCGTGAGAAGCTGCCCCATTCAAAAGGAAAAGAGCCACACACCTGCACAGACTGAATAGGGTGCCGGCAATTCCCCTCGGCCCTCCGTCCGCTGACCTCCTCTGCTCCTGGACTGCAGGCAAGTGTGGCCAGCCAGACCCTCTCTCCAGATTTAAATACCCAGCCCAGCTGGTAGGAGTGGGGAGCCGGGAGAGAAAGAGGAAGGCGGGACTGGCAGAGTCAGCAGCAGGCCACACCGGCTGCCAAGGTGGCCTCGGGGACAAAGTTTAATCTTCATCACCATCACAGCACATGCGAGGAGGGAAAGTCTTAACTCCAAACTCACCAGACAGAGAGAGGGAGGTGAGATCGTGGCAGGGAGCAGGACCCAGGACCGGAGCAAAGTCTGCTGGGGGCATGAATCACTTTTCTCTTCTGCCTGGAGGACCTTGGAAGGGAGAGGGATCCTGGCCTCTCCGCATGCGCACTGGTGGGCAGCCTTCTTCCCATGCCCAGCCTATCCCACAATCACAACAAGCTGGCAGGTCTGAAATGTACTTTATTTATTTATTTAGGACATGTATAGGCCGTCCATCACTGTCGTCTCTGGACAGCTTATAGAATATTCTAAATCCTAAACAAAATAAATTAGCTATTCCACGAACTGAGCATAAAACTGACATATTTGAAATACATTAAATAAATCATATACAATTAAAATTGAATGACGTTAAAACTTAGGTAGTGGACCAAACAGGCTGCTCTGGACTAGAGCAGGTGAGAGTCACACACCTGAAAAGTGGTGGGGATGATTTCAGAGGGAAAGAGCGGTAGGCAGAAGGAAGGTGCAAAGCCCTCCCCTCCCCTCCCCTCTCCTCCCTCCGGTGTGTCCCCTCCTCTACTTGTGACAAGCCTGTATCTGAGAAACCCCCAGCCAGGGATGTTGGGTGCAGTGCGGAAAAGAGGATGGAGGAAATGGTCTGGTCTACTTCTCCATCCTCTGTTCTCCTCTCCAGTTCACATTCTTCCTCCGCTGCTTTTTGGCTGCCCAGCTCTGCCGCTGTTTGACCCTAAATGTCCACAATGTAATTAGAACGAACATTCATGTGAATGCTCCAATTAATTTCCAATTAATGCAGCCACTGTCTGCACATATATATTTCTACCACTTGGGAAGCATAAAAGAGGGGATGTGGAATACCATAATTAGCCACTGTGGGCACTGAGAGCGTATTTGCCAGTTTCCAGACAACGACTAAATTGCTCTCGGATTGATTCTGCAAAGCCCGATGCAAGGAGAAGGAAGCGCCCCATCTTAAACCATCCCAGTGGCATGACAGACAGACATGCCCAAACAAGCCCCCAAAGCAGTCTTAGCCTCACTTCGGAAAACATAGTCAAGTGCACTGGCTTGACATCACTTATCGCTTCACGAGTGCCGGGCTGTAAACAGGGCGATGCCCCAGCGAGCCTTTTGCATGTTGCTTGTCCTGCTCGTGCGCATTGCAAAATTCTGTCCCGTGTTACAATGCAGAAGCATGAGAACGTTACTATTCTGGGACTGGTATCGGGGCGGGGGAAGGGGTTGAGCCGGCGTCCCTGGCAGAACTGTGGCGGGGTCCAATGCCACTGCTCAGCGCCTTGGTGCGTGGGACCTACCGAGCTGGATGGAGCCTGCCAGGCACGAAGGAACCTTCAGGGCGAAAACAGGCCACCTGCTTTTGGTTGCTTCTCCGCAAGTGAAGAAAAACTGGGTGGGGTGCCTGGCAGGCTGCAGGCCCTTCAGCTTATGGGTCCGACCAGCAGTAGAGACCAGAGGGGAGGGGAGGGGAGGGGAGGCAGATGCGCCCTGCGTCGATGGGGCCCCTGATCCTCAGCAGCTTTGAATAGAGCTGTATGGGGCTGGGTTCACCAGCATGGAGCACCATGGATAGTTCAAAATAAAAGCTGCAATGGATCAGGAGCCCCACGGACGGAGGGGCTCCCAGCCTCCCCTGCCTGAGGGCCCCATTAAATGCCAACAATATAACCGTGACTGTTGTTACTGTGGTTATTGTGGCTGCTGTTGAAACTGCGGGTGGGGAGGGCTTAGGCGCCTTTGGCCGAGCATCCGTCCTGCCCCTGGAAGCCTGGACTGGCCCGCAGCTCCCCACCCCTTCCCCAGACTGTCTCTCCCTGCTGTGACCCCGTTGCATCTTCCTTGCAGTGTCTTCGCCCAAGCAAGGGCCTTTCATCCCTGAACTATGCCGTGTGCATCAAGGGTTCCTCACCCCATTCTGTGGCCCCCACCCCCCCCATAGCACCTCACACTCCGCTGCCTGTCCTTTTGCGCCCTGATGCAGCCAGCGGCGTTTAGCGCTATGCTTTGGGTTGTCGGCTCAGCCAAAATGCCAGGGTTCCTGCTAGAAATGGCATTGGCGGCTCATCAGAACCACAGGGAAGGGTGCAAGAGACCAAGCCTGTGAATGGGGTGGGGGTCCCCCAAGGGTCTTGTGCACCACTGCACACGCACGGCAGCCTTTCTGGAAGCAGGAGCTCCTCTTTATCTCCCTGGTGATGCCCTTTGTGCCCTTATTATGACCCTGGAAATTTAAGAGGGGGTTTATTCCCACCCACCCAAGATATCATGATAGCGAAAGTACAGCTTGTCGGATTTCTGCCTGACTGGTAGCCATTAAAGGAGCAACTTCTTTCTGGGAGGAATTGCCCAGCGCCCACCTAAACATCCAGCTGTGATGCCTTTTTGCCCCCTGTGAATACAAACATGCAAACTGAAATGGCTCCGGGTTCAGGACCACAGCATTGTAAGACCATTAATATGGATTAGGTACTAACTTGCCAGGCTTGCTAGCAGAGCAGTGAATCATGATGTCTCCGGGCAATGCTTTTTTATTTTGTTAAGGCACAAGAGCACGGCTGATTTAAGAAGCTGGCAACCCCAGGCAGCTCATTAAAGCCCTTCTAATTCAATGCTCTGGTGGTAAGGAATGCAGAATAAAAGAACGGGATCCTGGGAATATCCCCTCGGAAAAGAAACGGCATCCAGCCACAGTCCTGGTCTCCTGCAACGTGCCTGCCATTTCAAACTCTGGCCTGAAGTAACCTCCGTGGAGCTGAGCTCAGAGGCTGGGATGACACAATGCCTTGTGGAAAACAGCTCGAGGGTTTCTTTTGCTTACAGATAAGCAAGCAGATGTTTCTTGGACACTGTGGCCCCGGAATGGAGTGGAGTGCCTGCGGCAAGCATTCCTCCCTGACCCAGGTACCTTCCACAGCTGCACCGAGGCAGAAATTCTTTACGGGTCCAGCTGCAGTGACTGTAATAATCTAATAATTATACCCTCTGGTACCATTAAACTCTCTGTGCACGGCCCTGGAAAGGAGAAGCCACTGGGTGATCCTGAAGATGCTGTGAATCAAATACCTGACTGACATGGTATTCTTACCCTAATCTTAGTTAATTACTCTGGTTAATTAAGGTGGATATCTTAACCTAATCCCAGGCCCCTGTGGCATCTTACAACCCTGTAAAAGGTGACACAAAAGCATCCAGAGCAAACTTCAGACATTTAAATCAGTCTCTGCCTATGGCTGCCTCCCTGTACCAACCGGGAATGATGGGGATTCATAGTCCCACACACCTGGGGTCAGCAGGTGAGCAGAGATGGGTTTAAAGCAGTTCCTCCAACATGGAAATGGCTGCAGGAATGACATTCTTTGGGTTAAAGCAGAGCATTCTCAGCGATGGAGGAAAGGTGTTCGATAGCGATGCCCTTAGCAAGGCGGCGGTAGTGCTTTTCCCATCAGATACGGTGCTTTGCAGTCAGCCCTAGCTCAGGCCCTGCATCTTCTACTTTTTCTCGAACTTACAAGGCGTGCGCAGCTGTGGGCTCTGCCATTGGCCTGTATACTGCCAACTCCAATATTGAAACTGGCATTTTTTTGCCAGCAGCCACCCTGTTTTTCAGCACTCTGAGACCAGAGGGTTCTTGGGGGCCCCGATTCACACAGAATCGGAGGAAGCTGCCCTTTTGCGGCAGCCGCTGGGGAATGTGGGGACGATGTGGCAGTTGCACGCACTCCTGCTTGTGGGTGTCTCACAGGGAGCTGGCTGCCGGGAGGTGCAGGGAACAATGGGCCAGATGGAACCCGGGGCTAATCCAGCGGGCCTTTCTGGCCTTCACAGGAACCACCCAGTCAAGCAGGAAGCATCTCTCTGCTGCTGTCTGGTGTGCTTTGCTTTTCGGCTGCAGATGGACACGAAGCAGCAGAAAATTTTCCCGGACAAGGAAGAGCAAAACCAAAAGGCCTTGACCTCTTTTCTGGGTAAGAAACAGACCAGAGGCATGACATGCTGTGTCGTTAGCAGATTGGAAATGAAGAGCATCCAAGTACAATTAATTTGTGTGTGTTCCTAGGACAACTTGGCTTTTTCCCAACCAGGATCCAACTTGTATGTTTAAAATTGGGTCTGGGAGCCAGTGTGGTGTCGTGGATAAGAGTGCAGAATGGGGACTCAAGAGATCTGGGTTCTCGCCCCTGCTTGGCCATGGAGCCAACTGGGCGACTTTGGATCAGTTACAAACTTTCAGCCCAGCCTACCTCCCAGGGTTGTTGTTCTGGGGATAAGATGGGGAGAAGGAGAATTAAGTAAGCCACTTTGAGTTTCTTCGAAGAACAAAGCAGGATATAAATCTAATACATAAATAAAATAATAAAATGAATCTAGTAAACAAATTAAATACATAGAAGGCAGGCCTGTTGACTGTCCAGGGAATCAGAAACCCAGCGTTATCTCTTGCCTAGTCCAACATGGCATTATCTTGCATTGACGAGGCAGGAAAACAGAGTCCAAGAGTGCCAATGTGGCATTTTGCACGCGGTATCAGGTACACAACGAGGGCAATACAAGCAGCATTGCTGGCATCAGGGCGATCGGGGCAGAGGGCCGGAGGCTGAAGGCCAGGCTCTGTCCCAGCCTGGCCTCGCCGCCTCCCTCGGTTTTGATGTCTCAGAAACCCTGAGGTCAGCCTTTCTCCCACTGCCTGCCAGCATGGCTTTGCAATCTAACACGTCAGCTGAGGATTCTGGAGTTGTAGTCCAATGCCTCTGGAAGCCCAAGAGAGGGGAGGGCTATTTCCAGCAAGGCGCAGGAGTCTTGGGAGAACTT